ATTATTATTATTGTTGTTGTTATTATTATTATTCTTATTATTATTATTATTATTATTATTATTATTTACAACGTGGCTCTTCAAGTCAGATGTTATTTTAAGCTTCTTGTAATTAATTCTCAACGTTTTCCCGCCGATGGCGAATTTGCATGCTGATGATGACGATGATGAGAAGGATGATGATGATGATGATGATGACGCTGATAACAATACTATCATCATCAAAATTTGAAATGGAAAGAGCACAAATGAATTTAGCATTGCAATGAATGTATGATGAAAAGTATTATTATTATTATTATTATTATTATTATTATTATTATTATTATTATTATTATTGCTATTAATATCATTATTATTACTATTGTGATTATTGATGATGACGATGATGTTGTTGACTAAAGAGGTAAGGATTAAACTTGGAAGTCATTTGCCTGTCGAAATGATTGTGAATATTGGATTGTATCATCATTGTTATTTTTATTATTAGTAGTAGTAATAGTAGCAGTAGTAGTAGTAGTAGTAGTAGGTTTAGCAGTAGTAGTTGTAGTAGTAGTAATAGTAATAATAGTAGTAGTTGTTGTTGTTGTTGTAGTAGTAGTAGTGGTAGTAGTTGTTTACAAAATGAACGTTATTATTTTTATCATCATGAAAGAAAACAAAATCAACAACATCAACAACAGCAACAACAGCAACAACGCCATCACGAAAAACAACAACATCAATACCGACTATGTCGACAACAACAATGTTATCAAAAACAAAAAACCTTTTGAAACATCTTTAAACGAAAGCAACATCAACGAAAACAACAGCATTCCTTCATTTGGATACGATAAATTCAAAGAGTGAGAAAGAAGGTGTCGTCTAACCTACAACAAAATAACGACTTAAAAAACTTAAAATATTGTCAATTATGCTACAGTCCAGTACTATAAAAAATTAATCAACTACCTGTCGAAAATAAACAAATGTAGGAAAGTGATTGTCTAAAGCCTTGGAATATTATCATAAACGACGACAACGACATTAACATCATTACAAATAACAACAACAACAACAAGAACAACAACAACAACAGCTGCAACATCATCATGAACAACATAGGTTGCAACAACAACAACAACAGTTGCAGTATCATCATGGACAACATAGGTTGCAACAACAACAACAGCTGCAGTATCATCATGGACAACATAGGTTGCAACAACAACAGCTGCAGTATCATCATGAACAACATAGGCTGCAACAACAACAACAACAGCTGCAGTATCATCATGAACAACATAGGTTGCAACAACAACAGCTGCAGTATCATCATGGACAACATCGGTAGCAACAACACGATCAACAACAGCATGAACAACAACAACACGATCAACAACAACATAATCAACAACAACAACAACATAATCAACATAAACAACATGAACAAAACAACATCAACATCAACAACGATAAATTCTTGTTTTAATTTGGGTTTTTTATTCATCACTATCGCCAATCCAACAAAAAATAAAGAAAACAATCACACCAACAACAATAATAACATTAATAGCAATTACAACAGTAATAATAAAACGATAAGTAATGGTAATAATTTTCCCGTTGAATTCGATATTTGAAATAAAAAAATTAATTTGAAAAAATATTTCGAAATCATGTCAGGAAGAATTGTTATTGTTGTTATTGTTATTAATATTGTTAATATAAAATTGTTATTTTTCCTATTTATTGTGCCTCTATTACTATTGCGAAAAAAAATGATTATGATGAATGATGCTTCGTGTATGCATGTCTTTCTCTGTATGTTTTGGTCTGGGTTTGTTTTTTTTTTATGTTCTGCTTTTAAAGTTTTTTAATACTTTTTGTATATTTTGGCATTCGCGTTTTATTCGTTTAGAAATTTGTTTCTTTCTTTGTTTATTTTTCTGTCTTCCCGTCTGTTCATCCGTTTGTCTTTGTCTTGTCTTTGCCCGACCGTCTGTCTGTTTATCTGTCTGTCTATTGGTTTGTCTGTCTATTGATCTATCTGTTTTGTTTATTGGTCTGTCTGTCTGTCTACTGGTCTGTCTGTCTGCTTGTCTGTCAGTTTGTTTGGTTTGCTTGCATGTTTTCATGTTTGTATGTTTGTATGCAATATGTTGCAAGGTTACATGATTAAAGACTGGTCATAAAAGCATTCTTATCTTAGAAGTTGTACCTAAGATGTTTTGTTGTGGTTGTTAATGGTGTTGTTGTTGTTAGTGGTGTTGTTATGTCGTTTGTTGTTGCTGCTGTTGTTTGTGGTTTTTGTTGTTGTTGTTGTTGTTGTTTCAGTTGTGGTAGTATCAGTAATAATAGTATAATTAGTTGTATAGGTAGTAGTAGTAAAAGTTGCAATATTAATTGTAGCACAAGCATTATTACCAAAAACAGGTGGTTGTAATCAGTGTCGGAGTCGGATGGATGGAGAGACTTTTGGAGAAGTCGAAGTTTTCTGAGGGGTCAAAGTGGAAAATAATACCACAACAGCAACAACCTTGCAATTGCCATCATCATCATCATCATCCTCAACCGCAACAACAACAACAACGTTGCCGTTATCGTCAACATCGTCATCAACATCAGCAACATCAGCAACATCAGCAACAACAGCAACAACATCAGCAACATCAGCAACAACATCAGACACAACATCACCATAAACATCGTCAACATCAGCAACAACATCAGCAACAACATCGTCAACATCAGCAACAACATCGTCAACATCGGCAACAACATCATCAACATCAGCAACAGCATCGTCAACATCATCATCAATCTTCCGTTGATACATTGCGTGCGAGACAAACATAAGAATTTTGTATTTATATAAATAAATTTGTTGTTGTTATTATTATTATTATTATTATTACTATTATTATTTAATTTTTTATCATAACTTTAATCATTAACAAACTATAATGCACAAACACACACATGCACGCACGTACACACCCATATACACATACGCCCACACGCACACACACATACACATACTTCAATCAGGTAAATTTTTTTTTAAATAATTATTTTTATTATCATCATCATATTCTATAATATTCTCATGATTATTAAGAACTTTAACAACATTAATATTAATTTTAAAAATTTTTATTAATTGTTATTATTTATTATTATTATTATTATTATTATTATTATTATTATTGCCAATAGTATTTTTTCGTTTAAATTTATTTAAATAATAATAATTATTATTAATACTATTATTGTTGTGTTATTATTGTTATTTATATTATTATTATTATCATTATTATCATCATCATCATCACATCCTATAGTTGTAAACACTCTAGCGTTATAATTAATACATTTGAAATATCCTCTTTAGGTTGTTTTAATACTTTTGATTTGTCCCTCATTAACTTAACATGGACAGCCTTCATCATCACATAGTATTTAACTGTGATAGAAATGCAAATTGAATGAACCATTTAGGACTAACCTGCTCTTATGGTACACATTCATTTTATAAGATGACGAGCTTCGGAGATTATTTCAAGAAATTTTACTATATCGATATATATTTTTTTAAATTTTGATTATCATTGACAGTTATTCTTTCTTTCATTTCATGTATGTTCTTACGATGAAATTAAAAAGGTGTTATTATTATTATTTATTATTATTATTACCAACGTTACTGTTATTATAATGA